AGAATAGCCTGATATGCCTATGAAAGTTGGACAAAGAATAAGGAAGACCATAGAAGAATGGATGCATCTGAGTTATGGTGGTGGAGAACATTGAAATTACCATGGACTGCCAAAACAACAAATAAATCTATGTTGTAAGTACAGCCAGAATGTTCCTTAGAAGCTAGGATGGTGAGACTTCGTTTGTCAGGAGTGACGAGTCCCTGGAGAAAGACATCATGCTTGGTAAAGTGGAGGGTCAACAAAAAAGAGGAAGACCCCCAACAAGATAGACTGACAGTGGCAAACAGCAATGGGTTCAAGTGTAACAATAGTGAAGATGACGCAGGACCAGCAGTGTTTTGTTCTGTTGTGCATAGATAGGGTCACTTTGAGTCAGAGACAACTCAGACAGCACCTAACAACAACTTTTAAGTTTATAACGTTTCCTGTTCTTTCGAAGAATTACTTAAACCTACTAGATTTGGAAGAAGTGCAGCCAGAGTGGTCCTTGGAGGCCAGGATGGCCAAACTTCGTCTCTCATACTTCAGAAGTATTATCATGAGGGATCAGTCTCTGGAGTAGGATATCATGTTTGTTAAGGTGGAGGGTCAGAGAAAGATAGGAAGATCCCAGTGAGATGGATTGGCAAAGTGGCAGCATCAATGGGCTCAAGTGTGGCAACAATTGTGAGGTTGGCCCAGGATCAGGCAGTGTTTCGTTCTGTTGTGCGTAGGGTCGCTATGAGTCGGAACCGACTCGATGGCACCTAACAACAATTAGATTTGTAAAAGATATTGTGACTCTGGACTGGCAACCCAATTCCACCAGTTCAAACCCACCAGGTGCTCTCGAAACCCTTTACAGTCAGAACCAACTGGATGGCACCCAACAACTACATGGTCCATAAACACTTCTTTTGCTAATTAAGATAAGTAGGAAAACATATGAGTACTATCAGTCTTAGAATCATAAACAGCCACAGGGAAAGGATATTAAAAAATAAACTTTATAGCGTATTGTTGTTGTTGTTGTTAAGTACCATGGAGTCGCTTTTGACTCATAGTGCCTCTGTACAGGGTTTCCGAGGCTGTAAATATTTACGGGAGCGTGTTTGCCCACACAAAATGCTGGTCACCTGTGATTCTTTCTTTCAGGTTAAACAGAAACGTTCAATTTAACCTCGTTTTGATATATGGAGCTACCACCCAGTCCTGTCAGGTCACAACTAAATGGTTGGTAATCGCTACCAGGTAGAAAACGACTTTAGATTATCTGTGTAAAATCCCATATCCGTGAAAATGGAGCTTTGCATTTGGAACCGATCACTCAGACGTGCTTTTTCTGTTCAGCTTTCACGTAGAACACTATAGATTTGAGGCTCTTGACACCGGCGCCTGAGCTTCCTCCAGGGCCACAGCTGTGGGCAATAGGCGAGGTTCCTACTTCTCGCTCCACTCCCTGAATGTGCCCTCCCCTCGGGCCGGGGTCTCGCCGCCTCCCTCCGCGCCGGGAGGAAGGGGCGTGACGTAGCGGGAACTCCTGCGTGACGTCGCCCGGACTCCTGGCGGGCGGGCTGGTTTGGCTGCATTGGTGCCTGGCCTGTGACCGTCTGGCCTTCCCCTCCCCCGGAAAAGCGCGGGCTGCCCTGAGGGGCTGGGTTTCTCGTCAGGCGATAGGCTGTCTGGTGAAGGAAAGAAACGAAAAAGGAGAGAAGCGGACCGCTGTATCTTCACAGTCCAGAGGGTTTTCGGGTATCTGGATGCAATCTTGGAAGCTGTGAGTAGAGGACCCTCCTCATCACCCCTCTCCCTACCCACCCCCCTCCGGTGCGCTGGATCGTGGGCGCTGCTTCCGGTCAGGGCAGGAGAGCTCGCGCTAAACCAACAGGTTCGGCTCCTGTGGTGGGGGTGGCTGCAGAGCCCGGGGCAGCATTGAGGAAGTGGGCCGGGCTGCACTAACGCACAATGGGCCAGAGGGAGTACGAACTGGCGCCTCCTTGTTGCTCACCCTTCGCCTCCCTCACGGCCTGAGGCAGAGCTTCCCGGCACCGAGTCCGGCTCGCGCATGCGTAGGCGCCGCCCGCGCCAGGCACGCTTGTCCCGTGCTAGCGTTTTCGGGAGGTTCGGCGTCAAAACCTGCCGGCGCCTGATGAGAGGTGATGGCTGGGGTCTTGCCCACCACATCCCCCCTTCCGTGTGTTGTGGCCCCTCGTGTGACGCTACTTGTGCTGGGTCTGGAAACAAATTTGCCATTTGTTTTCATTGAAGTGACCTTGATGTCAGTCTGCCTGTGAATGTTTCAGCATTTTCTCTTCTGTAGATCAGGGCTTTTGTTGTTGTTGTTTTTTTTAAAAGCAGAACGTTAGCGATATTGTTGTTAAGTGCCGTGGTGTCGGTTCCGACTCATAGCGAGCCTCTACAGGGTTTCCGAGGCTGCACATCTTTACGGGAGCAGAAAGCCTCATCTTTCTCCTATCATAGCCTAGAAAATGAACACTTACGTAGTGTTAGTTAAAATTCAGTACATGATCAGTTTTCACTGACTGTCAACAAAAAGGCCTAATCAAAAATGTTAAAAAGCGGAATGAATGAAAGTGCCCGCTTATTTCTGTAGTGCATGGCCGTGGTGGCTGCACGCATCATCTTGCTTCCTTTAGAAATGTCATTGCTGCTCTGGCCTTTTCATTAGAGACCTGAAGTCATAGTTGGCAGGAAATGCTGAAGTCTCTTGGGGCATCTGTGGGGAATTGACTTAGGACCCCATGGGACGTTCTGGTGACTGGCTGCTGAGCAGAGGCTTTTTTCAGTAGTAGTGAAACATGCCCGGTACTTTATGGCTTCAATTCAAGAATACAGTAAATTTGCGGGGAAACCTCCTCTTCAAGGAGCTCCAGTAGCCTAGTGGTTAGGAGTCGGTCTGTTAACCTCAAGGTCAGCAGTTCGAAACTACCAGCTGTTCCCGCGGGAGCAAGATGAGCCTTTCTGCTCCCCTAAAGATTTACAGCCTCGGAAGCCCTGTGCAGGGTCACTTTTAGTAGGAGCCGAGTCCGAGTCCGGGGCACATAACCACCACTTTAGTCGGGGGGGGGGGGGGCGGAGTGTCACATCACCTCCCTGAGACCACTTGGTAAGGGTAAAAGCTTGAAGTCCAAAGATTTGGTCAGGAACATTTAAATCCACGTTGTGATTGCTGATCGGGATTATCCACCATAGTTAGGTGGATGTCTTCAGGTCTCAGTTTCATGCCTTGCCATGCATGACTACCTTGTCAACAGGATGCGAATGTAGCCTAACATAGCGATAACTTCCGACTCTACTGGAATTTAGTAACCTGGTGCTTCCTCCAGTGGCTGCAGGAGTAATCAGGCAATCATTACACAAAGGGTAGCTTTACCGTAATTGCCTTGGTCCTGTAAATAACAGATCTTGATGTCCCTACATTTTGGCTATATCTGTATTTGCTTGTTGCCTTCCCTTGTTATGAGAAAGCTGTACAGCTCTTTTACATATTAATGTTTAAACCATCTCAGAACTTACTTAGCCTTAGGTATACAGGTATGTGTGAGTCCTGGTGTTGCGCTGTAGGATAAAGCACTGGACTGCAAGGTTGGTTTGAACTGCAAGGTTGTCTGTTCAAACTCACCAGCTGCTCCTTGGAAACCTTATATAGGGTCACTATGAGTCGGAAGTGACTCAGTGGCACTTAACAACTTATACAGATACATGAGTATTAAGTCAGGAATATATGAGGATGTTTTTCTCGTTGGGGGCTCAGTATATTGTTGTACCATGAGTCTTGGTGTGGCGCTGTGGGTTAATGTGCTGGACTGAAAGGTCAGCAGTTCAAATTCACCAGTGGCTCCTTGGAAACCCTGTCCAGGGTCGTGATGAATTGAACCAACTCAATGGTTCTTAATAACAACAACAACAACAATCCAAAAATAAAAAGCAGTGTGGTGATGGTGTGCCGTGGAGTTGGTTCTAACTCATAGTGACCCTGTGTAGGGTTTCCAAGGCGGTAAATCTTTACAGGAGTAGAAAGCCTCATCTTCCTCCCAAGGAGCGACTGGTAGATTCACATTGCTGGCCTTGCAGTTCCCAGCTCGGAATCCACTAAGTTACGAGGGCTCCAAAAAGCATTATATATTCTTAGAATGCTAAATAAATGCTGACCATGGATGATTACGTACCTTTCAATATTGCAATCCTTTCAATGTAGCAGAAAAAACCCTGTTGACGCAGTGGTTCAGGGCTTGTCTGCTAGGCTGCTAATCTAAAAAGTCTGGTTTAATCCCACTGGGGTACAAAGATGTGCAGTCTGCTTCTATAAAAGATTTACAACCTTGGACGCCCTTTTGGGCTTTTACTCTGTTTCGTGGGGTCTTTAGGATCAACTTTTGGGTAATGGATTTTCATGTAACATAATTTTGGTAGTAATCACTTCTTTCTCAGAGGAGTAAGAAAATTTGTCTGAAAATTTTTCTTAACTAAAGGCCAAATAAGGAACCCTTTGTGGTTTAGCAGTTAAGAGATACATTGATAACTTGAAAGATTGGTGCTTTGGATCCACTCTATGGAGCATTTCTGTCTACTCAAGTCATATGGGGTCACATGGGGTCCCTATGTCTACTCAAGTCATATGGGGTCATATGGGGTCACTATGAATCAAAAATTGACTTGCTGCTACCTAACAACAACAAATACCAAATTACTGAAATTAGAGCTTTTCTCATCTTAATCTACTTAATCCTTTACCCCTTCTAACCCCATTTTCAGTTTCAATTGGACATGCGTTTATTCCATGATAGTAATAAATCACATAAAAGTAAATGCTAAATTCAAACATAACAACAACTGTGAGGATGGTGCTGAACCACTCATTTGTAAGATTCATTTGTATTGTAATCTGTCATTTCAGGTATTTCAGCTATCTCCAAAGAGAACTTCATACTTACATAATGTAACAGAAAAGATAGAAAATCAGTAGGCAAAGAGAAGTGTGACACATATTCATCAAGATGAGCATCTCTGGAAGCAGTTGTGGAAGCCCTAATTCTGCAGATACATCAAGTGACTTTAAGGAACTTTGGACAAAACTAAAAGAATACCATGATAAAGAAGTTCAAGGTAAAATCTTTAACAGTGATTTGAGAAGTAGCTTACTGTCTTTTGTTGAGACTGTTTTAATAACAAGTAACTTTATATAATAGTTTTTTATCTTTATAGAAGGAAGTAATGGTTTGAAGTTCTGATGTGATCGTTAAGTGACCTTTACTATTGTAAATTTTTGTGTGCTTAATTTTTATGGTTGCTACTTTTAAACTATTGGCAGCTACTAGAAAACACAGTTCTTGTACATCTTGTATTTACTTGTACTATGTATAGTGTAGTATGTATGGTGGTGGTTATGTGCCATGGAGTTGGTTCCAACTCATAGCGACCCTGTACAGGGTTTCCAGGGCTGTTGTTGTTGTGAAGCGCTGTCAAGTCGGTTCCGACCCATAGCGACCCTGTATAGGGTTTCCGAGGAGCAGCTGGTGAGCTTGAACTGTCAACCTTGCAGTTCGAACTGCCAACCTTGCAGTTCAAACAACTTTGCAGTCTGGCTCATCAGCCCACAGTGCCACACCAGGACTCCTTGTAGTATGTATGTTATTGTTGTTATGTGCCATGGAGTCGGTTCTGACTCATAGTGATCCTGTACAGGGTTCCCGAGGCTGTAAATCTTTATGGGAGCAGAAAGCCTCATCTTTCTCCCATGGAACAGCTGGTAGTTTCAAACTACTGACCTTAAGGTTCGCAGCCTGATTTGTAACTACTACCTCGGAAACCCTGTACAGGGTCGCTATGGGTCGGAACCGACTTGTCGGCACTTAACAACAACAACAACACGCTACCAGAGCTCCTTTGTAGTATTAATTTTATTCATTGGTTTATTTTTAACAAATACTATGGAGTCAGTTCTGACTCACAGCGACTCTGTACAGGATTTCCGAGGCTGTAAATCTTTACAGGAGCAGAAAGCCTCATCTTTCTCCTGCGGAACACCTGGTAGTTTCGAACTGCTGACCCTGAGGTTAGCAGCCCGATTAATAGTGGAAATGGCATAAAAATTAGTGTCCAAAGGCCTGGATTTTAGTTCTGACTTTATTTCGCTACGGATCTCAGTCAAGTCAAATAACCTCTGAACTTCAGTTTTTTAGAAATTGGGCTGTTATCCACAGGATTATTTATAGACATCAAGATTCTACTAAGTCATTCAACTACCATGTAGGATCCTGTTTGCTGTTAAGTATTGAGATATAAAAGTTAATGACAGTTTACCTTCAAAGGACCTGGAGTCTAATAGAAATAGAGTCATGTAAACAGATAATTGGAGTCTTGGTATTGCATTACAGGATAAGCACAGGGCTGCTAACCGCAAGGTCGGCAGCTCAAACCTGCCAGCTTCTCCTTGAAAACCCTAAACAGGGTTGCTATGCATTATAACCAATTCAACAGTGCTTAAATACAACACTCCTTTACCTGGATCTCTGGTGATATAGTGGGTTATATGTTGGACTGTTAACTATAGGGTCAGTGGTTCAATGCCACCAGTCCCTCCTCAGGAGAAAGATGAGTCTTTCAGATCCTGTAGAGATTTATAACTTCACAAATACTACTGACTCGATGGCACACAACAACTGCAACAGACTTCTTACCTGTTCCCTTTATTGCTCTAGTATGTTCATTTTTGATAGATTATACCGATCCATGCTGCCAGTAAAACCTTTTCCAGCACAATGCCATTAAATTGATGCAGTCACAGTGCAGTAGCGTTCATTTAGAAATCCAGGTGTTACTGATGTTATTAGTTTTATTCATTGGTTTATTTTTAACTATCATTTTCTTAAAATGTTAGAACAAAGTAAACAGTGAAAAATTATCCTTAACATGCAAACAGGTAATCACTTCTTGAAAAATAATTAATTTTATTGCAGTTGTTCCAAATATACACAATAAAAACAAACACCAATTCAAGGTTTCTACAATGATCTTTATTATATTCTTCAGGTTGTGTAATGATTCTCACTTTCCTTTTCTGAGTTGTTCCTTTCCCAATATCATAAATTCACTGCCCCCTAAAGTTCCTATGTAATCTTTTGAGTTGCTATTATTTCCTTGATTGTGAGTTGCTTCCAGACCCTGTGTAGAGTTTCTGAATATTTAAGTCTTTGCTGGAGCAGAAAGCCTCATCTTTCTCTCTTGAGTGACTGGTGGATTTGAACAACAACATACATGTGTAAAACTCGGCCAATTTTATTTTTAGACCCTTAATTTTATGGGATAAAATGTTTATATGGAGTTCTGGTATAGTGCTGTGTGTTAATGTGCTGTACTGCAAAGTCGGTTTGATCTGCAAGGTCAGTGGGTCAAGCTCACCAGCTGCTCCTAGGAAACCCTATACAGGGTTACTGTGGGTCAGAACCGACTTTACAGCTGTTATCAACAGAAGATGTTTATGACAGATTTCTTCTTCATGTTCTTTGGAATTACAGGATTGTCAGGAGAAATATTTTATGATGCGAAAGTCTGTGAATGTAAAAAAATAATATAAAACCAAACCCACTGCCATTGAGTCAATTCAGACTCATAGCGACCCTAATAGGGTTTCCAAGGCTGTTAGTGTTTAAGGAGCAGAAAGCCTTATCATTTTTGTACAAAGAGGCTAGTAGGTTTGAACTGCTGATCTGTGGTTAGCAGTCCCATGCTTATCCTACCAGAGCTTTTAAACAACAATAATATATATATATATATTTTTTTTTTATTAAAGCAGTATGGCATATTCATCAAACCATAGAATATATAAAATTTGCAAATATTGCATTGTTAAGTGCCATCGAGTCGGTTCCAACTCATAGTGGCCCTGTACATAGTAGATAATATTTTTTAAATTGTGTTCTTGCTTTTCACTATGCTCTAATAGTCGTCACACTCTCAAGAGAGTTAGTATGTGTGTGTGTACATATATGTATAGGAGAGGGCTTCAGAAAGTTCATGGAAAATGGAATTAAAAGAATGGAATTGTTTCACAAACTTTCTGAAGCCTCCTTTTGTTTGTGTGTATGAGTGTACAGATAATGTTGTTGCTAAGTTCTTTTGAGTCAGTTCCACTTATATCGAACCTGTATAGGGCCTCCATGGCTTTTTTATCTTTGTAGGAGCAGAGAGATACACACAAATTTTCTTTTAATTTTTGAACTAATAAAAGAAGGCTTACCCATTGGTAAAACTGTAATTAATATATTAACCTGATCACTTTGTCCAATTTCAAAATTAATATGGATTCTTCAGTGTTTTAAATTAAGAAACACTACTTTTAAGAAATTAATAGGTCACTTAAAAATTTACTTAGGTTGGGTCCAGGCAGGACTTTTTTTTAACATTGTAAAGTGCCATCCAGTCAATTCCAACTCATAGTGACCCTGTGTAGGGTTTTCAAGGAGCAGCTGGTATGTTTGAACTGCTAACCTTGTAGTTAACAGTCCAGTGATTATCCTACAGCACTATACCATTGTTAGCATGGTCCACATAGTCCAGTATAAAATGAAATTGTAAAAGAACATCAAAGACATGCCTGTAGGGTACTTCATTTTTTAAAAAGGTGGGAGATTTACTTGAGAAACCAGTATGAGGCTATTTGAAAGACATCAAACATGGACTTGTCCAGACCTTGCAGGTTTTAATGTATATATAGGTATCAAAATTGACTAATTACTTTTAAACTTTCATGTCAAGAGGTATTTTATGAATGTTAGTACTTGAATTATATAAGTTTGCTTAGAAGTTCAAGGAAATCCACCCATAGTTGCCTATATCGTCTGAATTTACTGATATTTGTACTTAGGGCTGTTTTGGGGGGAAATGGGGGACTCATTTGAATAAAAATAATGAAATGATAGTAAAATAAGTCACATTCAAGATAGTATGTACACTGATCATAACACTATAATGAACTACATTTATTTCTTTTAAAACTAGAAAAGAATAAACTGTCTCTTTACTTGCGTTGAAGAGCAGTCATTTACAAACCATACCGTTATTGATAAATTCTGGAGGAATTTTTGACTGAGTTTTTATATTGTTTCTTTATGATAATTATATCCTCTCATGATTGTTCATTTTAGAATCTTGTATTCCTTTCTGACAAATGCTACTTATGTCACAAACACAAGTTGTTACTATTAATTCTTTATATGAGTCAAATTATCCGCACTCTGGTTGTAGAGTTTCTTTTAATCAGCTTTTAGAACAATCAATTTTTTAGAAAAGATGAATACATCATTATTTGCCATAATCTCTTTGCTTTTCAATACACTTTGTCCACTTGTCAACAACCTATTCCCTTACTAAAATTTATTTTTGGCTGAGCTATGAGCCACAAGAGTGCACCATGATCTTCACGTCTTCATTAGAGGTGAATCCTCATCCTTGAAAGGCTTGCTTTCTATGGACCAAACAGGTGAAAGTCCAATGGATCTGGACTAGAGGAAGGATGCTTTAACACCTCAAAAGGATGTGGGCTGAGGTGTGTGGATGTGCATTGTCGTGCAAGATCACAAGCCCTTGGATAGCAGTCTTCTGCATTTAATCCCAAGTTTAGGCTTCAGGTCTTCAGTGAGCACCTCACTATAACATGCTCTGTTGATTGTTGAGCCTTTTTCCTGATAGTGTTCCAATACTGGCCCTTGAGAATCCCAGAAAATTGTAAGCATTAATTTTCCAGCTGATGGTTAACTTTTGAACTTTTCCTTGGTTGGCGATTGAGGATGTTTCCATGCCATACTCTGCCATTTACTCTCAGGCTTGTAGTGATGAATCCATGTCTCATCACTAGTAACAATTTTTTTTAAAGAATCTTTAACCTTCCTTTGAGTATTGGTCCAAATGCTGTTTGCAGATGCCCACACACTTCTGTTTATGCTCTTCCGTGAGTTGTTTCGGTACCCATCTCGCACAAACTTTTCGAAACCAAGTCTCATGGATTGTTCCAAGGTAGAGCTATGGCTGATTTGCAAATGACTTGCCACATAATCCACTGTCACTCATCTGTTCAACAGAATTATTTAATGTGCATGGACAATATT